TGCTGAAGTGTTAAGGTACGCAGCCCCTGTATTCCCTGTTTCCATTGCAATAAACAGCTTCACCTAAGCTGTTGTAGATTTTTCGGGTTGTCTGGCTGTTTTGCCAGTAGCTGGGCCCTTGGTGAGGGACAGACAACACACCCTACGGAGGGCCATAAAATATGCCATCCGGCATAATTTGAGGCTGGCAAATGAAGAGCAAAGCAACGACCCTCTGGATTGCCTTGGAGAACACCAGACTACAAGGTAACTAAGAATGAGTGTATCAGTAAGCACCCAGTGAGGGAACTGTTGCTCCAGCAACCTGCTTCATGTGGTTTTGTTTGTGACACTGGCCAAATGGAACAGCACCTCCTCCCCAGCTTGCTATACTGGCTGTGCTGAGACCCAGCAGCATGCCAGCAGTGAGTCATGTCCCAGCTCCTGCAGCTACATGAAACCATACTTAAACTAGCTGTGCAAGCAAACTGGTTTAAATGTCCTCAGTTTTACAGGTTGTCTATTACTGCACCTCACAATGATCCATAAACTGTCCATTTATCCTCAAAAATAACAGGAAGAGGGTAGGAATAAAGAGAGCCAGTTTGGTGTAGTGGTTAAGTGCGTGGACTCTAATCTGGGAGAACTGGGTTTGATTCCCCACTCCTCCACTCGCAGCTGCTGGATGACCTTGGGCAAGCCATAGTTCTGTCAGGTGTTCTTGAAAAAAGAGCAGTTTCTGTCAGAGCTCTCTCAGCCCCACCTACCTCACAGGATGTCTGTTGTGGGGAGGGGAATGGAAAGGAGTTTGTAAGCCGATCTGAGACTCCGAGCGAAGGGTGGGGTATAAATCTAATCTCTTCTTCTTGTCTTCTAAATGGGCATTTTTCATATTTGAGAGAAGAAAACAGTTGGGCTCCCCAAAGATTGGTATTGGGACCAGTGTTACTTATCATACTCATAAATCCTCTGAATCAGCAAATCAATATGGAATCAGTGAACAGTGAAATGAAGTTACAAACAGAATTGTCCCAAGTAGAGATTATCCCAAATGATAATCAACATAAGTGCAAAGTGATGCATACTGAAGTGGAAAAAAATCCTACTTCATATACTGATGGAGCCTAATATTGACTGCAACATGTCCAGCCTTTTCCCATTAAGAAGCTGCCAGAGGGAGGGAAGAAGAGAAGATAAGAGATTGGATTTATACCCCGCCCTTCACTACCCAAAGGTGTCTCAGAACAGCTTACAATCTCCTTTCCCTTCCCCTCCCCACAACAGACACCCTGTGAGGTAGGTTGGGCTGAGAGAGCTCTGAGAGAACTGTCCTTGAGAGAACAGCTCTGACAGAACTATGGTTTGCCCAAGGTCATCCAGCCAGTGCAAGTGGAAGAGTGAGAGTGGGGAATCAAACCCAGTTCTCCCAGATTAGAGTCCACGCACTTAACCACTACACCGAAGGAGGGAATGCTGAAGATCAGGAGATCAGATAAAGATAGGGTTTCCAAGGGGAACTGAGGAAATAGTATGAGACAAGAGATTCAAAGGAATAAGACATTCCTCATTGGTTCCTGAAGGTCCTCTGTTTGTCAAGCATTATTAGCCATATTTGTTCAGAGAAAACTCTGAGTTCAAAGACAGTGTGCTTCTGAATACCAGATGCTAGGAATACATAATAGCAGAATTACTGCTTTTGTCCCATTTCAGGGGGGCCATGGGCTGCTGGACTAGAAAAACTCTGTGTGATCCAGCAGTATTCTTCATACTTTATTATTGCTTAAGAACATAAGAAGAGCCCTACTGGATCAGACAAACGGTCCATCTAGTGCAGCATTCTATCTCACACAGCAGCCAACCAGTTCTTCTGAAGGGCCAAGAATAGGGCATACAGGCTAAAAAGACCTTCCTGTGATGTTGCCTCCTGGCTCTAAGATTCAGAGGTTTAGTGCCTCTAAATGTGGTGGTTCACCTCAGTCATCATGGCTAGTAGCCCAGTGGTGTTTATTTCTGTGGCCCTCACTACATCATCTTTCCCTGTGTAAAGACGTATTTCCTTTTGTCCATCCTGAATCTACTGCACTTCAGCTTCACTGGATGCCCTTGAGTTCTAGTATTTTGGGAGAGGGAGAAAATTTTCTCTCTTTCCATCCCATCCATAATTTTATCAACCTCTATCGTGTCCCCCCTTAGTCATCTCTTTTATAAACTGAAAAGTCCCAGGCTCTTCAGCTTTTCCTCATAGGATAGGTGCTCCAATCCTCTAATCATCTTGGTTGCTCTCCTCTGTACTTTTTCCAGCTCTGCAATGTCCTTTTGGAGATACTGACTAGAACTATACACAGTATTTCAAATGAGGCTGCACCATAGATCTATACAAGGGCATTAGAACATTGGTCATTTTATTCTCAGTCCCTTTCCCAATTATCCCTAACACAGAATTTGCCTTTTTCACTGCTGCAGCACACTAGGTTGAGACTTTTGTTGAGTTATCTACTACGATCCCAAGATCTTTTCCCCTTTCAGTCTCAGCAAGTTCAGACACCATTAGCCTATACTTCAGATTGGGATTTTTTTTGTCCCAACATGTGTCACCTTGCAAATGAACTTCATTTGTCATATTGTCACCCATTCACCCAGTTTGTGGAGATCTTCTTGGAGCTCTTCATAGTTAGCCTTGGTTTTCACCATCCTGAATAATTTTGTGTCACCTACAAACCTGGCCACTATGCTACTCACCCCTAGTTCCATATCATTTGTGAATAAATTAAATAATACCAGCCCCGATACTGATCCTTGTGCTTCCTTCCCTCCATTGTGAGAACTGTTCATTTATTCCTACTCTTTGCTTCCTCTTATATATTCCTACTCTTTGCTGCCTGTCATTTAACTAATTTTTAATCTAAAAGGGAACCCAACCTCTTATACTATGACTGTTAAATCTACTCAGGAGTCTTTGGTGAGGTACCTTGTCAAAAGCCTATTGAAAGTCCAAGTATATAAAGTCTACCGGGTCACCATTGTCTACATGCTTGTTCACTTTCTCAAAAAATTCCCAAAGGTTCCATCTATATTATACCATTCCTCCAAAGCACTAAAAATGTCTTACATAGGGATTATGTCATTTCATCCTCATAACACCTGACAGCCTATGGTGGGAGAGCCCTGACCCTGACCCCCTGGATCCTCTAATTACTGCCTGAGCTAATCACCCAGGACAACTGAAAAAGATCAAGGAGCTGACTGCAAGATGAGGAAACCAAATTACTAGCACTTTATTATGTCTATGGTTTTAGCTTTGTTATTTGTATTAAGTGATGTTTGATAATTTTATATTATCGGAAATTTTATTCTGTTCTTGTGTAAGCCGCCCTGAGCCAGCTTCGGCCGGGAAGGCAGGGTAAAAAAATCTAATAAATAAATAAATTAAATAAATACAGTAGGTCCAAGGTCACCCAGTGAGATTCATGGTTAAGTGAAGATTTCAGCTGGATTTACCCAAATCAAGTTCAGCATTATAGCCAGTGGTACTCACTCAGCAGTTCATGAAGAACGACATCTGCAGTTACCATCAACCAAAACAGCCACATTACTCTATACCCTTGGTGCCCCCTACACAGGCACATGCATACAATTATATAAGTATTAATATTAAATATATTACCATAATATTTTAAATAACCAGAGTACCACGTAACATTTTAAAATGGGCTAAATAAAATAAATAAGTATACGATTGTCTCTGCCCAGCACTGCTGCACCTAACCTCAGCACCTGGAGTAAAGGGAAGGGTTTGCAATGACAAAAAAATGTGTTTATTCCTTCACAAATGTCCACAGCTGCCTCTTTTGCTTTTATTATACCTAACCGAGTCCTACACAACATTGCAAATCAACCCATCTGGTTTCTGGAGGTAAGAATTATTCTTAATTCACATTGTAAAGTTTAAAATATTGAGGCAATTTTAATCTTCACTCAATACTCTCTAAGTCAAGACAAAAAACAAGCATAAGATCTGTTAATTTGTATCATGCTAGTTTAGTATTGTTTCTCTCAGAACTGTTTAAGTGTTGCTCTTCCCATTCTAATCAAGTCTCAAAACTATATCCCACCCTCTAATGAGCATGTTTAACTTCAGATATACAGAGTGCTCCACTTACTATATATTGCAATGGGTTTGAATGAGTACAAAAATGAACTAGTGAACCTAAACAAGTGGGTTTCAACCAAGACTTTTCCCCAGAGCATATCCAGGACTTGGGAACTTCGGTTCTGTTTTGCATTTATGGTATGGTTAGGTGCTGGATCCTTTTTTTTTTCCCTACCCCCTGTCAGGGTTGCAACTCCAGACCTGGGGGCAGTGCCTGGAAATGTCAGAATCTGGTGACGGGAGGCAGCTCAGCAGGGATGTAATGCCGCCAATAACACCCTCTGAAGCGGTCATTTTCTCCAGGGGAACTGATCTCTGTAGTCTGGAAATCAGTGTAATTTCAGAACTCCAGGCTCCACTGGAGACTGACAATCATGCCTCCATCCTTTCAGCACACGTTTGTGAGCACAGTGAACATTGTAATGTGCATTAGCAACATGTTCCCTCCTGTTCAAAACTTTTGTAGATGAAGAGTGGCCTGAATCTCAGCAGACGTGCCTGTACCCGCTTATTTTCTTTCTTTCACACCATTCTTAAGCGTAAAGAAAACTCGTTTTCCTTTGCCCCAGGTGAGCACCATTTTCACCACGACACAATGAAGGGAATTATTGCCAAAACAGACAAACAAAGCTGGAGTCGGGACCAGTCGTTTCGAGGAAGCAGCCATTTTAACGGGCGTTACTTTTACTGGCGTACGCATGCGCTCCGAATAAAAATGCAGTTACTCTCCGCTAGTCATTAGCAACCACATGTCACGCGCGCCTTACCCCGCGCCGGGAGCAAGCGAACACCAGGCGCCGTTCTCCGAAAGAAGGCTTCCGGAATGCGCGCTCTAAGTAGGCGGGGCCACCGCTCCTACCAGCCTTTCAGGAAGAGGCTGCCTTAGCAACGACCCCCCGAGAACAACAGCCATGGCACAGTCTGTGGTGGTGCAGGGTGAGCGCGCGTGGACGCTTTTAAATCATTTCTTTCCTTTCTCGTTTTATTTCTATGACGCTCCTTTCCCTTGTGACTGCTTGACCGTTGTTTTTTTTCCCCCCAAACCCTATTTCTACAGTGGGCCAGTGCGGGAACCAGATCGGTTGCCGTTTCTGGGATCTGGCGCTGCGGGAACACGCGGCAGTCAACAAGGTAATAAGCCCCACCCATTCTTGTGGACGTCAGTCTGCGCGCGCGCAGTAGGGCGCTAAGCCTTGGAGGGATGTTTTCCGCAGGGGCACGCAAAGCTTGTGTGCTTGTTCCGTGTATCTGTCGCTTGAGCTGCTGACACGCGAGGTTGAAGGATTGGCGGTGGTGTGTGTTCTGGATGTTGCGGCGGTTAGCGTTTCTCCTCTTAAAGAGGGAATTAGAGTGGCTGCTTCAGACATTGTATATTTTAGCGTTGTAACAAATTACGTGTGCATGCACACGAGAGCTCATACCTTGAATAAACCTTTGTTGGTCTTAAAGGTGCCACTGGACTCTAAATTTGTAGTAACAAGTAACCGTCCACTTCCCTGCTGTCCTTGTACTTTAGGATGACTTATTACAAAAGATAGGACGGAGCTCCTACTTTCCATTTACAGGTTTTCCTTAAGGAATTTCTTACCCCTGCCTTGTAGGCAGTGGCTGTAATCTCCTGGGTAGCCACGGTGAGGCCTCGCAGCCATTCCGTAGCTACAATTCGCCGCAGTTCTTGTTATAACATTAATATCACTCCACAGCATAGTGTTCTAATGTGATTAAAAATCATCAGCTTCTGTTTCGTACAGTCTGGATTTTCTCCTTAGCTCTTTGAACAGTTGTCTAACTTCAGCTCCTGAGCCAGTTTGTAGTCTGGGGTTTTTTTCTACTGAAAGTGGGCTGTTACACATGGACTTTTGTGGATGGGGTGGGAGTGTGAAATGATTTTATTGCAGCATCTCTCAGCAATTCTCAAAGGGCCTTTCCTCCCTTTTTCACCAGCGGAAACACTGATTGGTTCCAACACTTTGAACAAAAAGCTTATGTTTGGAATTGTGAGACTTGTATGGACAAAAGCCATGGAGTGAATGAAAAAGTGGGCTGGCACCCCAGGCCAAAGCTTATTTATAATTTTGCATCATTGTGTTTTGTTGCATAACATAAAAATTAATGTACATGAAGTTATTGCCATTGCAATATGTAAACTTATAACAGTTCAGTGGTGGTGGATGAACTCATTTCTGTTGTTTTCAGTGGAACTTTGATCCCTGTTGCACATCAAAGCATGTACTCATCCAGAAAAAAATGATTTGGCGCTATGGGAATGTGTCTTGTAGTCATGTGCTTCCTTTCTTTCATTCTCCAGTTCCCAATTTGCACAGGTTATAGTTGGCCATTGCATTCAAATCACACTGTGTTTTGTACCTGTCTTCTGAACCAGGATTGTGAAGCATGGTTGAAGATTATTGCAGTTAGTGTTGCCACTAGGACAGGATAAAAAATGTCCTCCCCCTTTAATGGAGGCTTTAAGTGTAGAAATAGGCAGATGAAGATTTCATTGCAGTAATCAATCAGTCATTGACCAGCACAAATAATAAGTCATAACAAGATTGACAGCCACAGTTTTGATAAGAAAAAACTTAAAAATTAACTCGCATATATAAATATATGCAATGGGTAATAAGTAACATTATTAAAATTCTTCAGTATGCATATGCATGGCGGTTTTTACAAGCTGCCGCACAAAACTTCACGTTAAGTTGCTGAGACCAGTAGGTTTTCATCTATAAATAGACAAATGCAGATTTTTATTGCATTAAAGTAAATAACATCACCTGGTGAATAATATCTATTGGGACAGGTCATTTTTTTCTGCATTCAGTTGGCAGCTCTTTTTGCAGTCAGAGGGCAAACACAAATCACAGTTGCTTATTCACCTGTGATGGCAAACTAAAAAGGAAGTAAGAATCTTGTGGGTAGCCTTGTTGGTCTGAAACAAAGTTTGAGTCCAGTGGCACCTTTAAGACCAACAAAGTTTTATTCAAGGTATAAGCTTTCGTGTGCATGCACACTTTTTCAGATACAGGGAAATGGGAGTTACCAGTCCCTTCATATAGGTAGAGGGTGGCTAGTAAATTAGCATACACAGCCAATCACCCCACTTCAAAGAAGGTGCTATAAGGTCGCCTCCATGCTTGAGAGGAGATGGATGGAGCGTAATGGCAAGGTCTCGGTTAATTACTCTCAACATTCCACAGTTAAAGATACATCTGCTCATCAGTCTCCAGTTTGACATACTTATTTCCTTTACTATGTTTTCCCCAAGAAACAAATGGTAATGTAAGCTTGTTATTCCTGTTTGGTCCTTGCATCTGTTAAATACCTTCATTATCCTGTATGCTAATTTGCTGCCCACTCTACCTATATGTATGGACTGGTAACTTCCATTTTATTGTATCTGAAGAACTCTGCATATACACAAAAGCTTATATCGTGAATAAAACTTTGTTGGTCTTAAAGGTGCTTCTGGACTCAAACTTCGTTAAAAAGGAAGCAAGGCTGCAATCTTAAGAACAGTTTCCTGGGAGCCCCAGCAAATAAAATAGGGCTTGTTTCAAGGGTTCCCATTTCCCTGATGGGGGTGGGGTTTACCCACTTTCATAGCCCCCGATCTGTTGGTCCTGATCCAGCCAGCGGGGGGAGCCCCGCCCACAAAGAACCTCATATGCACTGTGCACATTGCATGGGGGACACTTGATCATTTAAGGAAAAACCATAGAGTTTTTTCTTAAATGACAGAGTGTCCCTTGCACCGTGCCCTGCGCGAAGATCTCTGGGACTGGGAAACACACACACACACCCTGCTGGCAGCCAGGTAAGACCTGGCAACCCTACTTGCTTCTGAGTTGACCAGTTTAGTTGTTCCCTAAGTGTGTTATGTCAAACCAGTGTCAGAAGTGAAAAGGGGAGTGGGAAATATGTAAATGTAAAGCTAATTCCAGCCACAACCTGTCTCCCATCAAGAACAAGGCAGATCCCTGCACAAATAAGGTTGCCAACAAACCTGGGGAAAATGTCTTGCCCCCCTAATACAGGCTTAGTGGGTAGAGGTAAATAACATCCTAAAGGCAGGTAACGATAAATAACATCGTATTAATTCTGTATTAAAGGGTGTCATGACCATGGGCCTGCAGTGCGGTCTACAGGCTCTGGGGAGGCCTAGTGGCTCCCAGGAAGCCTGCATTGGATTAATCATTAGGGCCTACATTTCCCAGGTTCCCTTTGAACCCTGTGATTGGGTAAAAGAAGATTTTGGAGGGGAAACTACATCAGCAGGGGAACAGAGGGCGGTGCCTGGGGAGAGGAGATAAAAGGCCTTACCCAGAGTGGGAAGTTTTTCTTTCTCAGGGAGCAGAGGTTGTGGAAGTTGCAGCAGACAGAGGGATCCCTCATCCAAAAGGGGCAAGTTAGATTGTGAACAGGCACTTAGGGAAGGCTAGGACTGTGTAGACAGATGTGTTAGGATTTATTATTGTACTGATTTACCTGCCTTTACTTTGCTCATTTTTCCTACTTCTTATCAAAAGTTGTTGTTAAATAAAACTATTTGTTATTCTGCCTGGGTCCTCACGCTTCATTCGATCATGTACAAGGTCATGTACAGTGTTGTTAAGTCCTGTAATAAGGGGAAGGGTGGGCACTCTGGGCCCTCCCAAGGAGACTCATATCAGAGTGGTGGCAGCCAGAAGTGAACATTCCTAGCCGCTGCTCGTGACAGGGACAGGGCTTTTTTTGTTGTTATCCAGGAAGCTGGCAAGCCTGTGAAAAAAATTGCTTTGCGTATGGGGGAAAATGGAGGAATCTCGATACACAGGGACATAGAATCATAAGAGGTTGCAGGACTCCAGGGTCATCTAGTCCAACCCCCTGCACAATGCAGGAAATTCATATATACTTCCCCCCCATCCACCCCCCAGTGACCCCTGCTCCATGCACGAAAGTTGACAAAAAACCCCTCCAGGATCCCTGGCCAAACTGGCCTGGAGAAAAATTGTGCCCTGACCCCAGCATTTCCCTGGGCGTGTAAGAAAGGGCCACAAGAACTAAGCACTGAGGCAACCCTTCCTGCCCTCCTTCTCACGATCTGCCCAAGTTCACAGAATCAGCATGGCTGTCAGATGGCCATCGAGCCTCTGCTTGAAAACCTCCCAAGAAGGAGAGCTCACTACCCCCCGAGGAAGCCTGTTCCCCTGAGGAACCGCTCCAACTATCAGGAAGTTCTTCCTAATGTTAACCAAAAACTGTTGATTTGATTTTATCACAGCACATATGGGCACTGGCTTATAATGATGATTTTTGGGAGAAATATAGAGGGTATATTATCTCAAATTACTTAAGAATGCATACTAGAAATATGTATGCAAAGGATTCCTGAATTATTGTACTTCAGTTTCTATTTAAATAAGGTTTCTTTTTTTAGAAAGGAATTTATGATGAAGCATTGTGCAGTTTCTTTAGAAATGTGGACCCTAGGTAAGTTTACTCTTCTGAACATTTTAAATTATTTTTAAATGACTTTCTTTTTAAAACTGTTGGAAATGCTGCTGTTGTACCAGCATTTGCACTAGAGCAGCTAGTTGACATCTTGTGCTATGCGATGTAAGACCTAACTGAAGATTTTCAGGAGATGCTGCAGGGCTGTTTTGTTTAACAAGGCATTTGATGAGGTATGGACAGCAGGCATATTTTGGAAGGGAAAGGTATTTGGGGGGTATTTGATTTTAATCTATATTTTGTATTATTTTAATCTGCCATGAGCCAAAGGGACAGGCATGGACTTCTTATTCATTTTCAATTTTTTGTTCAACATTCATCCTTCTTACTATCCTTTTTCTAACTCCTCCCCATTTGGGGTTTGAAAATGTGTGGAACATCTATGTGAAGTATCTGTGGTGGATCCCAATGATTCTAGCATGTTGCCTCATCAGTGAATGGAATAGCGGAGAAGGGCAGTGTATAAATCTAAATTATAAATAGATACAATTTTATTTATTTTATTTAACTTGTCTTGACTGCAGTTTGGTGCACATTGCTTTGGGGTAACTTTCACCCAGTAAAGTCTCAGTGTTTCACTGACTGGTATACTCCATTGTTCACTGTACCAGGCTGGATAGAGATGTCTGGCAGTAGGGATGCAGGCCCTTGGCTGACAATCCACAGGAGCATGGGAGGGGGTGGAGATTTTTTGGAAGTCACTTTTGAAAAAGGAAGTGATGTCATGACACTCTAGGCATTTCAGAATGTCTATGGCAAAATTCCTGGAGTATCCGGATGTCATTTCCTGTTTCAAAACATGAAATGGCTTCCACGTGCTCCCTCTATTTTTCCCCTGCTGTTCCATTGAGCAAGGGCAAGGAGACACGGAGCATCACCAGGAGGTCCCCCTCTATTACAGGTTAAGTGGCAAGGCTAGGTATTTGCCAGAAGGGTCACTTGGTGGCACAGTATTTGGCTGACAACAGCAGGATGGACTCTCCCTGACTCATCCTTTACTTCCCCCACCCTAGATCTGTATTCCCAGTTGGGCTAATAATGCAGTATTTCCCAGACTCTACAAATCCACCTGTCTATCCCTGTACTATGTAAATTTGTACTTAATGTAGCTACTGTCCCATCCTGACCCTGTCATTCATCCTCCAGGTTTTTCCCACAGGGGTATCCTCCTGTGCACCTGGCTCCTGTTTCCCGACACCACTTCTTTGGGCAGCAGGAGAAAAATAATGGGGGAAAGAACCACCAGTGACGGCATGACATCACCTCCAGGGAAAACATAGAAGTGATGTCAGTCCTGTCTAGGAAATGCCAGAAATTCAGTGGTTTTACCACAAAGTTTCCAGCGAATCCTACAGAGGTCTGACATCACACCATCATTACTACCACCTATGGACTCCCACCAGTTTCCATCCATTGGCTGGTTCCTACTCTGACTTTTGCAGAAGCTTGTGCAATATGGCTGTACCATGTTAAATTACTGCTCTGGTACAACATCTGAAGTATTACACTGCATTGGTGCAGTACCAACTTGCATTGTTGCATTGGACTAACAGAAGTTGTTCTCAAGCCTTCTTGCATTTTGCCTCCATATTACATGATAGTATGAGGCCATCAGTACTTCAGTCTTGCAGTTAGTTGTAACAATATTGAAGTATCTCTGGAAGTCAAATAGTGGTACATATTTTAGTGTCCTACTCCTGTGACAGTGGAAATTTTGCAAATGTTTTCCCCATCAGTTGCACTCAAGGCCAGGAAGAACTTCACTGGCCAAAATTCTATGCACTGGGCTGCTAAGAAAGAACAATTTAGGCATGGTTCAGATGTAGCAGCCAACCCTTTACAGGAAAAAGCTTGGGGGATCCTCTGGCTCTTCTGGATTTGTGGCAAAATGTACATGTGGTCCTTCTGCATTTATTTATCTATATCTTTATTTATTTATTGGATTTCTGCTTTTTCTAGATCAGGTGATGATGGTGCTGATATTTCCAAAGGAAAGATTTGTTCCTTAAAAGCTCGTGTAAGGCAATATATCTATAATTATTATGTCATTGTTTCTTATACTTTTAATACCTGTGAAATGCCTTTCAAGTTTCAAAAGGGAGAAAAGTTTAAAAACCATTTACAACATGATACCTAAATTCAGGCCTTTGTGCTTTACTAAATGATGGATATTTTAAGTAGTGTATACTTTGCTGTTGTGGTCAAGAAAATGATCCTTCAGATGGTCCAGAAGTCAGTGTGTTTGGTGAAAGCAGTAGACTACAGCTTCCAAAAATGTGTGTTTTAATTAGCTGACACCATAAACAAGATAACCAAATTACAAGATGAAAAAAAATCCAAAAATGTTTGAGCCATTTTTTGCAGACAAACTCCCTGATCCATCTAGCATATATAATTTATAAGTGGTTTCTTCTCCTAAATCCAGTTGCTAGAACTGTGTTTTCAACATAGAAAATCAGTAATAGTGCCAATCATCTGTTAAGGAGGGTATGTGTAGAGGCAGTGTATTTAATTCCATCCTCTGCTGAAAAGCTAATCCATTATTATTACCGTATTTATTCATTTATTACGTTTTTATCCTGCCTTTCACCAAGGAGCGCAAGGTGGCATAATAGTTGTTCTCACCTCTGTTTTACCCATAATAGCCCTGTGGGATTAGTTAGGGTGAAAGAGAATGACTGGACATTGCTCACCCAGTGAGTATCATGGTGAATATATATTATTGGGTATCCCTAGGATTAATTCTAGGCTACAGTCACACACACTAAATAATCCACTTTCCATGCACTTTCTAACTGGAGTTTTACTGTGTGAACTGGCAAAATCCAGTTGGAAAGTGGATTATTTAGTATGTGTGACCACAGCCCTACACTTTAACTGCACCAGACCCCACCCCCCAAAAAAATGTGTTTTGCTCTCTCTAGTAGTCCCAGAGGGAGCAAAACACATGTGGAAAAGGGGGGGACCCAAAACAATAAGGGCAAACAAGTGACAAAAGTGACAGTGCGGAAGTGGCCTCAGTGTACAGAACTCAGTGCTCACACAATTGAATCAAGTTCCGACCCACCTCCATTGCAGTGATTCCAGGGACTTTAGCGCACGTGTCACCAACCATCTTGCTAGTCACTTCAGTGAGGGGACAGCTCTGCATGAACATCCTTTTGGTACATGCAGCTGCACCCTCCATTAAAGTGAAACTCTGTGTACATATTTAGAAGAAAAAGAAGAAGGGATTGGATTTATACCCCGCCCTTCACTTGGAGTTTCAGAGCGGCTTACAAACTCCTTTCCGTTCCCGTCCCCACAACAGACACCCTGTGAGGTAGGTGGGGCTGAGAGCTCTTTCAAGGGCAGCTCTGACAGAGCTATGGCTTGCCCAGGGTCATCCAGCAGCTGCAAGTGGAGGAGTGGGGAATCAAACCCAGTTCTCCCATATTAGAGTCCATGCACTTAACCACTACACCAAACTGGCTCTTCACAGCTCTTGAGTACATGCATACAAACCCACTGATTTTAGTGGTATCAGGTATACATTGTATTTGCAGAACTGCAGCCAAACATTGTTAAAATTAAAGCAAAGGAAACACTTATCTTTCTCTGCTGTGTTAACTTTGCACAAACATTTTAAAAGCATGTTGGTGGGTCACTCTAAATTATCTTTTATTTTTGTGTTAAGGCTCTGCTGATTGACATGGAAGAGGGTGTAGTAAATGAAATTCTTCAAGGGCCATTGAGAGATGTCTTTGATAGCAAGCAGCTGATCACAGATGTTTCTGGCTCAGGAAACAACTGGTGAGAATGAAATCTGTTTTATAAACTCTTCATACAGAATATTCTACTAATTAGATGGAAGTTGAAAGAACTCTTACATTTCTGCCTTTTGTACTTTCTGATAAGCACATTAAGATAATCTTTTAGTTTTTATACTATGAGGAAAGCTTTGAAAACAAACAAGGAATCATGTCACATCTACTGTTTCTCTTTCTTTATAAAAAGTTATCTAATTTGGTGTATCATGTTACTGTTCAGATGTTCTTCTGTTCCTGGAAGTTTTTCTTCTCTTTTGAATGGTAATCTTCAGGATTTGAGCAGCTGGCCAAAGGGAAGGAGAGAAACAGATGGACGTATAAGCTAATAAATTCCAACTTTTAACAAATGTTTTTCAGTGGAACAATCAAAGGAAAGGGAGATTCAAACTAAAGCAGATCAAAAGTAATGACACCCTCTAGTCTTAGGAACATAGTTAAGAAGGTACAGGCAGCAAAACTGCTAGAAAAAGTGTGTAACAGAGGAAGTAATTTTGTAATATTACATTCAGCAACTAACTATTGACCTCTGGTTATTAACTGGGAGCCATTACATCTTCCTCCCTTTGTTTGTGTGAGTACCTGGAAGCGCAGCCTTTACACATAAGCCCTGTGTAGATATAAAGCTGGTTTTTTACAACCTGTGTTTTAATGTTGATCGCCATTCTTTGGAATATTCACTTCATCGCCTTCCACTTTGGAGAGTGCTTCCACTCTT